TATGGATAGGCAGTGTAATAAGTTAGCGGATTTCTATGCTAACTTTGCTATCTTTAGTTCTTTTATTTGGGATGACATTAGTTTGAATAAGGTTTCTCCTCCTTTTGTTAAAATGTTGGAGGACTAGTTGGTAATTTGTATTGCTTTTGTTAGTTATCAATGCAGCTAAATGCTTCTTTAAAAAAAAAAAGATAATTTGTTTTCTTTGTTCATATAAGTTTTGTATTGTAGGTATAATCAAATTAAGATGGCCTTCAAAATTCATTGTTATAAAGCAAAGTCTTTTTGACTTAAAAATGCAAGATACTTCCTAAGAATGCCAAAAGTGTCTTTCATAGATGCAATCAACTTATTACTTGTTAACTCATTGAAACCGAATAGTGAGCTATTTATCAAGTAGCTTAATCCAACTCATAAATTGATTTGACTTAACTACACCCTATGCACAATATGGTTCAAGTTTATTCCTTCTTTAACAAAATATTCTGCATTATTATTTTCCCAAGGCCCCGGCTTATGATTCTGCTTGGAGCTTTTTTTTTTTTTTTATAATTTGTAGCTGATTCGCTTATTAATTATTAGCAAATATTTGTTAAAAATAAAATGCACGCTTATGTATAAAAGACAATAAGAAAATGCACACCGATATTTTTAATAGTGGTTCGGTCAAACTATGACCCACTCACTCCCCGAAGTCCTCCCTCCGGTATTTCACTACAAGCAATAGCTCTCCTTTTGCCCCCCTTGGCAAGGCGGAGAAGCCCTACAATACTCCTTTCACCAACCGCGTGGCGGAGTGCCAAACTCTTTTTCACCTCCTGCGACGGAGAGAACCTTCTCGTTTTCTCCCTCCTGAGAAGGCAGAGTACTCGAGGTCACGGATGTAGAAGAGCCTTTCCCTTGGAGATTCTCCCACAAATTCTTCTAGGGCCACCAAGAGGAACAAGATGCAACAAGTTCGAGAACCGTGTGATCTCCCTCACACCTTCGTTCCCTTTACAACGCTCACCTTCTCCTCCTCTCTCAAACCCTAAGAACTTCTCAAAGCTCTCTCCCGGAATCCTCTCTCTAACCACGTTTTCCTCTATTGACCACCCTCTTAAAATATGACAAGTTTACACCTAAAACGGGCTCCAAAATCCTTGAGATTTCAAAAGTAGTCGTTACTATCGTACAGTTACGATTTCTAATCGTATAGTACGATATGTAAAATAAGACATCGTCCTGGTACGAAGTGGTACGAACAGTTCAAAACATTCGTACGATTTTAAATCGTAGGTACGATCCCTAACAATACTGTTCGTACAGGACGATATCGGGAGATCAAACATCGTCTATGTTCATCGTACAATACGATGAGACAAAACCCGAGAGATCTCCAGGATGATCTTTGGGACGATTATAATTTGTCTTTGTCATGTATGTACGAATGGGTTCGTACAGTACGAGTTCAAATTATAATTAAGCCCGGATTTCTTGCACTAATCACGGGTTAAATTAAGTAAGTATTTAAATAAATCGTACAGTACGAAGGTGTTCGTACAGTACGAGCGGCGTAAAATAACTTACTTAAGTTAAAGCGACAGCTAGGGTTTTGGATTTGAACATATCGTATAGTAGATGTACATTCGTACGGTACGAATCTATTCACAGATCA